CTGCCTCCGGGAGACAGAGCGGTGGGTCCCCGGGACTCCCTGGCATGTGGGGTCTGCAGCCTGAGTGGGGCCGGGCCACGGATGGGGTGCTCCCTGGGCCCCCGGAGGGCGTGTGCATGGTGGCCCAGAGCCATGCAGATTACAGGAGGCAATGGGTGCTTGGCCATTCTCTTACCACGGGTTAAAGAAAATGCCAGGAGTGGGCTGGAAATGTTTGCCACGAAGCGGGGGCTGGGGACCACCGGTGGGGAGAGGGTCCAGTCCACACTCCTTGGTGAGGCCTGGGCCCAGGGTGGGGGCTGCTGGCTCCTGCCTGCCCCCCCGCCCCCACCGACCCAGGGAAGACCTGGGAGGTTTGGACGTCCTGCTCTCACACCCTGGGGGCCTCCAGACCCTTGTCTGCTCCTTCACCAGGACACTTGGACACCAAGTCTCAGCCAGGTGGCGGGTGACCTGGGCAGGGCAGGGACTACACGGTGCCCGGGCACCCCCTCCTGATGGGGCTGCTCAGCAGGATGGAAGCCCCCTCCAAAGTTTGTCCCTGGCACTTGTGAGGCAGATGGAGGCCCTCGACCCCTCCCCGGGCCCCACCCCACCCCTTCAATGGGCAGGACAAGCTCTGTCCCAGAGTCTCGGGGGAGAAGGAGCCATGCCCAGGACCCTGAGCCTGGGGAGTGTCCGGGCCAGGGTGTGCACTGCAAACCCGGGAGGGGGTCACTTCTAAAGGAAATGGGGCTCCTTGGGCTCTGTGGGTCCGACGGGGTGCACACAGCTGACCCAGACTTAGGCCAATCAGGACGGAGAGCCTCAGGCCCCACCCCGGGCTCAGGAGAAGCTGCCCCAGGTGGGGACATGTCTGGGCTGCTGGGGAAAATTTCAGACTCAGAGAGAAGGCCAGAGGCTGATTGGGTCCCCTTGTGGCTCCCATAGGGCTCATGGCAGAGCCCCACACTCAGGGCTGTAGGGAGTTGATGAGCTCACGGGGGCCCCGGGTGCACTGAGGTGCTAACCTACTCTTCTCCCTGGGTGGGGAAGGCGGCCCTGCTGCCCTCCCAGGCCTCTGCTTATCTCTGATGGAGTCGGGGGGGGGGGCACTTCTCACAGAGCTCCGTCTGGCGGCTGTCAGGAAGGAGGAGAGAGGCTGCCACCTCCTGGCCCAGGCAGAGTGACCTCCAAATGGCAAGGATCTGCTTCGGTGCCAAAGTCCCCCTACCCAGATTCTTAGGTAAACTGAGGCAGCAAGCAGCTATCAGGCAGGAGAGAGTGCGCAAGAGCTGCAGGAATTAACAAAATGAAAGGGTAGGAGAGGGAGCAAGTGAATGAAGGGCCGATGGGTGGGGAAGGAGAAAGTGGGCAGGTGGGTAGGTGAGCCAGCAGGCAGGCGGGCAGGCAGGCAGGCAAGCAGGTGGGCAGGTGAACAGGCGGGCAGGTGGGCGGGTGGGCAGGTGGGCAGGTGAGCCAGTGGGCAGGCGGGCAGGTGAACAGGTGGGCAGGTGGACGGGTGGGCAGGCGGGCGGGTGGACAGGTGGGCAGGTGAACCAGTGGGCAGGCGGGCAGGTGAACAGGTGGGCGGGTGGGCAGGCGGGCAGGTGAGCCAGTGGGCAGGCGGGCAGGTGAACAGGTGGGCAGGTGGACGGGTGGGCAGGCGGGCAGGTGAGCCAGTGAGCAGGCGAGCAGGCAGGCAGGTGAACAGGCGGGCAGGTGGGCAGGTCGCAGGCGGGCAGGCAAGCAGGTGGGTAGGTGAATAGGTGGGCAGGCAGGCAGGTGAACAATCGGGCTGGCAGGCAGGTGGGCAGGCGGGCAGGTGGGCAGGCCGGTACTTGACATCCCTGAATGGTGGACAGGCAGAGCCAGCTCCTACGTGCCCGCTCCGCTCTGTGCTGTGAGCCTGGGATGCGGGACAAAACCATGTTTTTTGTTGTTGTTGTTTTTGTTTTTGTTTTTTTTAAGATTTTATTTATTTGCGAGAGACAGAATGAGAGGGAGCATGAGAGGGAGGAGAGTCAGAGGGAGCAGCAGACTCCCTGCTGAGCAGGGAGCCCAATGTGGGACTCGATCCCGGGACTCCAGGATCATGACCTGAGCCTAAGGCGGTCGCTTAACCAACTGAGCCACCCAGGCGCCCCAAAACCATGTTTTTAAATAAAATATATTGTAGGACAGTTTTAGATTTACAGAAATGTTGCAAAGGTATACAGGGAGTTCGCATGTACCCTACGCCCAGCTTCACCTCGTACCAACATCTGACATGGGTATGGGACACGTCACAATGAATCAATGGCTATTATTGAACCATTACTGTCCACTGAAGTCCACACTCTATTCCGAGTGTGGAGTTTTTCCTAATAGCCTGTTTCTGTCCCAGGTTCCCACCCAGGGCACCCCGGGACATTGAGTCCTCATGTCTGTGACAGCTTGTGATGACCCGGACAGTTCCGAGGGGGACAGGTCAGGCACGCCGTAGGACGCCCCTCAGTTGGGGTTTGTCTGGTGTGTGTGCACCACGGTCAGACTGGGCTGTGGGTTTGGGAGAGGACCCCAGGGTGAAGCGCCCTCCCACCCCAGCGCGTCCGGGCCCGTGCTCCCCACCTGAGTCGTCCCCGTGACACTGGCCTTGCTCACCTGGCGGGGTGCGCGTCAGCTGCAGCCTTCTATCCCGCGGTCTCAGGAAGGAAGTCACTGTGAGAGTCACACCCGTGGGGCGGGGGCTGGGCTCCCCCCCAGTGGTGGCGCATCCGTGCACAGTGTCGGGGATTCTCCCGGCCGGCAGGTGTCCTGGCTACGCCACCCTTTCCTCTACTCCATCGGCTACATGCCCAGCGTGGGCCCCCGGGTGTCTGTGGGATAAGGTGGGCTACTGTCCTGCACCGCGTCGCCAAGTGGGCTCTCTGTGGTCCCTGCCGTGGCCACTGGGAGCACTCTCAGTGAGCTCCTGTGACAGATTCCAGTGAACCAATCCTTTATTAGATGAGGTCGGGGAGAGGAAGGAGAAAGGAGTTCGCTGGCCAGCAAATAACATATTACACACGTGTGCCCACGCGTGCAAGCATACCCACACACGTGCCCTCGGGCACCTGGAAGCTCAGCATCTTCCGTGGAAAAGAAAACGGGAGGCAGCCCAGGCTGGCTCGTGGTGGGGCCTGACCCCCAGGTCCAAGGGGGGCAGGCAGGGGCGTGTCCCCCTGAGCCAGCCCCTTGGGGATGGGCCTGCTACTTTAGGTGCCCCCGTGGCTCTGACGGGTCAGCGCGGCCCTCAGGAGCGGGTGGCCAGCCCAGGTGCCCAGATAAGATGGGCACGTGGCTGAAGGCCGGGTAGCCAGGCAGAGCCAGCGGCTTCCCCCGCAGATGCCGCTTCCTCTCCCGGGGGGCGGGGGCGGGGTGCTGGAACGGGAGGCTGTGGTTCAGTTGAGGGGGTGGGGTTCACCGGGGTAAACGTGCGTACGTGGGAAGGGGGCTGTGGTCAGAGGCCCGGTCTTTAGAGGGGCTGGGCTTTGTCTCCTGCCCACGAGGGATGCGGGGCCGCTCTGGGAAGACACGCAAGGCCACCCATGCACAGTGCACGGTGCCTGCTCGGCAGGGGCAGGGCGAGAACCCAAGCCCGGCTCGGCTCCGGCTCTGCAAGGGTCTCTCCAAACTCAGGGCGGAGGCGCCCGGGGGGCTGGCAGCGGGCAGGATCCCCTCATTGTGTCCCAACAGGCTGCCAGGCACTGTCTTTCTCACCAGAGTTGGAGAAAAGTAACAGCCGCGCGCGGCAGACCCTGATGAGAGCGGACAGAGGGTCAGGCTGGCCGGCCCGCATGGCCCACGCCCTGACATATCCGGGGTCCCCCACTTTTACTCTTGCTGCCCCTTGGGTCACACCTGGGCCCCACCTGGAGCGGTCCATAAGCACTTGCTGTCGGAGACGCCCTCGTGCCCCTGCAGACCCAGGGTGGGGACTCCCGGGACCAGGGTGGGCGGCCTGAAGGCACCGGGTTGGACGAGGGGTCCCGGCTGCCCTGGCGCTTGGCTGCTGGCTCCTAGAAGGCCCAGGGGTTGCCTCGCCTGCAGCTCTCTGGGGCACTCCCCCTCCCCCGCTGAGGTCCCCATGTCCAGGAGGACCCCACATGAGAGCCACAGAAGGGGACAGAAGGGGAGCGATTGTAGCCCACAGGTGAGCCACCCACAGGTGGCCCCCACCAGCCCTGCCGCCCCAAGGACCACAGCAGTGGCTGAGCGGTCCTAACTGGCCCAAACTGGACCCAGACAGTGGCTTCACCACGTGTCTCCTCCAGGGGATACAGCCCCGCGCACATCCGAGTCTACAGCCTGCCCCGTGCTCAGGTTTGCAAGGTTTAGTTTAATGACAGACTCGTGCTTTGACACAGCCTCCCTTGGAGGCCCACCTGGGCACATGGGCACCAAGGCTCCGGCCCGCCCTGGCGCCCTCCAGACAGCTCTGCTCCAAATTACCTTTCCAAAATGTTGTCGTCACAGAATATTTCGGGTGGTGTTTCCTAAGATGATGCTCCAACAGTGATGCTCAGATTCGATCCTGTCTCCCAAACTCCTCCAAGGATCAAGCCTTGGGCAGGATTCTGCTTGCATACTCCCAGGACAAGATGCTCACCCCCTACCCGGGCACCTTCACCTCTACTCACCACCTCCTCCTACCTCCTCCCAGGATGTAGTCTGTGGCAGACCAAGAACAAGGCCGTACCCTTTGGGGAGAGGGCTCATACCCTCAGAGGTCCTGGTGCCTTGGGCCAGGGCTGGGGACAGCAGGGGTGGCAGGAACTGACCTCGCTGCCCCTCCCCTGCCTTCCTGCCCGTCTTCCGTGTATTTGGGAGCAGACAGAGGCTCAGTTCTCTGGGTGTGTTAACAAATAGAGGGCAGCCTACCTCCTGGGCAGGCAGCTGTGGTCTGAGGCCCCCACCCAGCTGGAAACCACAGTGGGTGGGGAAGGGCGGGGAGCGGAGGGGAGAAGAGAGCAGAGGAGAAGGGAGAAGAGATGGCCACCATGGGGCCCTGGAGCCGGGTCAGGGCGGCCAAATGCCAGATGCTGGTCACCAGCTTCTTTGTCTTGGTAACGGGCTGGTCGGGTGGGAGGGGTGTCGGGGGGGGGCCGTGTCAGTGGACCTCTAGCACTGTGGTCCCCACACACACCCAGCCCTGCTGTCCCCATCCTGCCCCCGGGACATGCACCTGGGGCCACTGGTGGTGGACCCCTGGCAGGTGGCTGTTTGCGCAGGATGCCCTGTGGGCCCCGCCAGGCAGCGTGGGACCTGGGTGGCTGGTGAACTGGTGTCAGAGGGGGGCAGGGAGAGGGGGCCGCTAGGGGCTGTGCAGACAGAATGATCCAAGGTTCTGAGTCCTGGGAGGAGCTGCACAATGCATGTGTGTACAGTGAGGGGAGAGCGGGGTGTGTGTGTGTATGTGTGTGTATGTGTGTGTGTGTGTATTTGTCGGTGTATATGTGTGTGTGTGGCGGGGTGTCTGGGACAAAGGCCTCCCTGAGACCACCCTACAGAAGCACCCAGAAGTCCCAAAGCTGAGCCTGTCTCAAGTGAGACCATGAAGCTAGAGGGAGGTTGGTCAAGGGACCCAGGAGACCCAGACCCTGCGCTCCGGGCCTCATCATGTGTCCAGCCCTGCCCCCACACTGTGGTCCGCCCCACCCCCAGCTCCTGGGCCTGTCTATGGCCACATTGGCGGCTCTCACTTACTTTGGGGCCCACTTTGCTGTACTCGGCCATGCATCCTCAGACAGGACCCCCTATGAGGCCATGCACCGCTGGGGTAAGTAAGGTCAGGTGGCTCCTGTCGGGGAGGGGACTTCAGGTGCAAAGGCAGTTGGGGAGGTACCCCAGGCTGGGCGGGTAGGGGCCTCCTAGTGGAGCCGGGCTAGGTCAGGCAGTGGGTGTGGGCAGAGAGGGCCACCCTGGGGTCCTTCTGCACTGGGCAGAGCCAAGGGTCTGGGCCCCAGCCTGTGCCTTCATCTCCTGTCCTTGGAGCCTGGGGGCAGGTGGCATCCAGATGGCCTCAGTGTCCTGGGGGGATTGCTCCGGAACAAAGGGGCCTGGACCTCGATGCATCCTGGGGGCTGGGTCTCAGGCAAGAGCACAGGACGTCAAGGAGGGCAGCTATGGGGGAAACTGAGGCCCAGAAGACAGGCTGTGGTCCCAGCCTCAGGCCTCCTGGCCCTTAGGCCCTGGGTTTTTACCCCGAAGCCTGAATCCTGGAGCAGGAAGCCTGGGTCTTGGGCCTGGCCTGATAAGAACGAGCACCCCGCACTTGCCTGGTGGCTTTTGAGATATCCCCCAGCAGACAGGAAGCAGAAGTTGGGGGCAGGGCCTCTGGCCTCCGCCTTCGCTCCTGCCTTCTCAGCATTGGGAGGAGAGGGAGTGGGTGGTGGGTGGTACATCCCGGCCTGAGCAGGGCTCCTGGTCTCTTCAGAGCTCCCAGAAGCCTACCGCCTGAATGTATCCTTGGGTTGGATTGCAGATGCTGGCCCTGTGCACTGGGGACCCCTGCCCGGGGCATGCCTAACCCTTCTGCTCTCTGTCCCCACCCAGCCTTCTACGTCGGCATCAGCCTGGCTGGGCTCCTGACCCTGGGCGCCGTCCTGGGCGCTGCAGCCACGGTGAGGGAGGCCGGGGGCCTCATGGCTGGGGTGAGTTGTCCCTGCCCCCAGTCCCCCGGCCCCTGGGATGGACTCCGGAGCGCGCAGGGTGGGGAGAGCCCAGGGAGCCTGCTTCCTCCCACAGAGTCCTGGCAGAAACAGAGGCCTGAAGGATGTGCACCAGCCAGGACGCCCGTCCAGCTGGGCCAACGAGGGCCCCTCCGCCAGGCCCTGCTTCACCCCATCATCCACGGGGGGCGAGAAAGGCAGCGCCGGTCCTCCCAAGCCTGGGGGCCATTGCCAAAGGCCCAGGGAGCGTCTGGTTCTCTTACACCAGAGGCTCTGGGAACCAGCTTCCATTTCCTGTTACTGGGGCCAGGGGTGGCGGGGAAAGCCCCTCCACTGGCCAGGTCACCTGTAGGCCTGCGTTTGTGCTGTGCCCCAAGGGGGCCTGAGCCGCACTGCTCCTTTGCAGCTGTGGAGAGGGTCTGCCTCACCCCACAAGGGACAGTGACCCCTTGTTGCCCCCATTCTTGCTTGTCCCCTTGGGTCCCTCCCCATCCCCACTGGCCTGTCCCCACTGCTCCACCTGCCAGCCCCGCCCCCCCCAAGACCTGTCTGTCCTGGGCACAGGCTCTCCTCTCCTACCGGAACCTGGGCTCCCTGGTGCCCTGGGCTCACGCACCTGCACCCCCGCTTCCCCCTGGCACCTGCCCTCCCTGCCTGGGGCCTTCCGGGACGCCTCGCAGGCTCGGGACAGAGTCCTGCTGTTGGAGGCAGGCCAGGTCCAAGGACCCAGAGGGAGTCCCGCAGGACCAGCCAGGAGGGCCCTCAGCTTCACACAGGGTAGAAAGTGAACACAGAGTTTACTGAATAGCATGAGTGAGGGACAGAGAGTCCCAGACAGAGGGTCTGGGAGACTTGGAAAGAACAGGAGAGGGAGTCTCTCTGCCTCTTGGGGTTGGAGATTTACATTGGAAAGGGGTCCAGGGTACGTGTTCCTTTAGGAAGCTAGGGAAGGGTCTGATCGAAGGTGAGCGACAGGTGGACGTTAGGAGTTATTCCATGAATCACGGATGGTAGTGGGCATTGACCCCAGCGTCCGCCCAGGTTTGTTCAATGCTAACAATCCTGGACATGCTTGGGATTTGGATCTTTTTTTTTTTTTTTAAGATTTTATTTATTTATTTGAGAGAGAGAGAGCACATGAGAGGGGGTAGGGTCAGAGGGAGAAGCATACTCCCCGCTGAGCAGGGAGCCCTATGAAGGACTCGATCCTGGGACTCCAGGGTCATGACCTGAGCCAAAGGCAGTCGCTTAACCAACGGAGCCACCTAGGCACCCGATTCGGATCTTCCTAGATGTTATCAGGTGTCTGGGGGCCCAGGACAACAGTCGAGAGCAACTAAGGTTCCTGCCTCCCCGTGGGAGTGGGAGCGTAGCTTCTTTGGTCTGCATGGGGAACCAGAGAGCTCGAGTCACTGGGGCCGAGCAGAGAGGGGGCCTTTCTAAACCGGAATCCCTTCAGCCTCCCGAACTCACCATCCCCCTGCAGGTCCACGGGTCCCCCCGGCCTCCCTCGGCCCCTTCTGGCTGCCAGACCCCCACTCTCCCGCCTCCAGCCCTCTGCTCCTGCCGACCCCACCCTACCCTGTGAGGGGTTCACGGGGCAGCAAGCACTGGAGCCAAGCCCCTGGGCTCACGGAGGGCAGCCTTCTGGGCCCCTAGGACTGGCAGGTTCTCGGTCCAGCCTGTGTCAGCAAATGGTTCGTAAACATCTGCAGAAGTGGGGACACTGTCACCTCCTGAAGCTGCGGCCCGGGCGGCCAGCCCGGGAGGGTGCTCGGGGAGCAGCGTGGGACCAGGCAGTCCAGCCCTAACCGGGACCCCGCTGGCTGGTGGGCCGGGCATGTGGGCGCGAGCAGCCACAAAGACTCTGGCCGGAGTCAGGGAGGGCGGGGAGGCCCAGTGGGAGCTGACAGGGCAGGTGGACTGTCCCCCGAGAGCGGAGCCCTAAGGCTTGGGGCCTGCCAGAGGGGCGCGGGGCGCGGGGCTGGAGGACAAGGCTGCCGCTGGGCCAGCCCAGGCCTGGAGAGGCCGGGCCCGGGCGGCAGCCTGGCCACCAGGGGGCGCCATGGTGCTGGGCCAAAGCTCTAAGCTCTAGGAGGCGGAAGGTGCTCCCCTCCCCGGGTTCCTGCGCCCCGCCCCCCAGCTCCCACCTGCTCTTCCAGCCCAGATGCTCAAGGCTGCCCGCTGCCCTGGTCCGTGGCCCGGGCAGGGGAGCACCGGGGGTCTCGCGTCTGCGTCCCCAGCCTGCTCCACCCAGACCCCTCCCTGGGCCCAGCCCCATGGCCCCGAGAGGCCTGCGCCCGCGGTGTCTAACATGTCTGTGTGTCTGCACACGTGTAGCAGGACATACGAGGGACGCTCAAGCAGGGAGACCCTTCCCAACGTGCCGGGCGCCCGGCCTCTGTCTCCCCCCGCCCTGCCCATGCCTTCCTGCCCCACCTCCTCGGGCCTCGCCCCACACAGGCCTCTGGAGCAGGAAATGAACCAGCTTGCCGGGCTGCTAGAGCAGGGCTGGCAGGGGCGGCTCGTTTGTTTATGTATTTTATTTACAAGGACCAAGAAACTGCAGAGCCGGGCCCAGCTGCACCCAGCAGGCCCTGGGGATGCGGAGCGGGCCTCGCCCCAGGCCCCATCTGCAGGCGGGCGGGTCGAGGTAGGGAGGGGACTCGCTCTCTCCTGAGGAATGAAATGATTTCTGGAAAATGCTGGTCCCCTGAGCTGGCTCAGGGCCTCCAGCCTGGAGGCAGTGTTGAGCGATGGTTTCCAGATGGAGGAGGCCCTCAGCCAGCCAGGAGGGGGGGGGCGGGGGCGGGGGAAAGAGGAAGAGGAGGGAGGAGGAAGGACAGGGAGGAAGGAAGGAGGAGAGGGAGGGAGGAACCCATGTCCTGGACACCGAGGCCCTGCAGGCCCCTGGGCGGGCAGGAGGGAGCAGGAGAACGCAGGGGCTGCCTGTCCCTGAGCACAGCCAGAGGCCCCTGTGCCCGAACTAAGACCGGGCGCTGGTGGGGGTGGCCCGCTCTTTCCCAGCACCTGGTGGGACCAGTTCTTGGTGCCGGCCCCGCCCACAGCCCCTGTCTGTGTGTCCGTCTGTGTCTGCAGGCATCTCTCCATTCCACTGGTCATCTATTCTCCTGGGTGTCACTCTTCGTGAGGAGGCCCCTGGGTGGGGAGAACCCGGCCCCAGCCTGTGCCGGGCTGCAGATGGGCCCGGAAGGGGTGCTGTGTCAGCCCAGCCAGGGACACATGGCCCGGGGTAGCGGTGCTCCCACAAAGCCGGTGCAGTGGGGAGGAGGTGATGCAGACACATCAGCCCTCTGGACACCGAGGCTGTGTGGCCGGCAGCCCGATGAGCTGCCCAGAGCTCTAGGAGGAGACGAGGTGGGAGACCCAGTCTGAGGGTCCCTAGCATGCAGGTGGCAGGCCGAGCTCTGGGTGGGGATAATGTCCCCAGGGCAGCATATAGGCTGGGGATCCTAGTCTGGGGTGACCCTCTGAAACTGCCCACAAAAGAGTCCTGGGGCCTGTGAAGTGCATTTCTCAGGGGCAGGGTCCGTAAGATTCCCGGCTTCTGCAAGTGGGGAGCTCAACAGCTCCAACCCCCCGACCAACAGAGAGAAGGGCACTGTGGGGGTGCTGGTGATGGAAAGATGTTCCCCCCAGAGAACTCCCATCTCCAATATTGGGGTCCCAAGGGGGGTAAGTCAGGGGACTGCACAGGGTCTTAAGACGGGGTGGGGGTGCTTCCCTGCCAGGCTCACCCTACCTCGGGGTGCCCCACCAGCTGTCTCTGCTGGGAACCTGCAGGGAGCCCCCTGGCCAGGGCAGCGGGCAGCCCCAGAGCCACGCCGCGCCCGCCTGGACCCTCCTGAAGAGGGGAAGTTTCTTCTCCCAGGGCCCATCCCCGGAAGCAGCCCCACTGGGCGGGGGCATCCATCAACTGGGGACTCCCTCCCTCCCTGGGGGAGGGGACATGGCTCTGCCATCGACGTGCCCTCGTGAGCCAGGATGGGAATGGGGAGAGAGTTCCCAAAAGGGCCAGAAGGGGTGGGAAGAGTGTGCCCCCCACAGCCCACGGTGGGTCTCCCCCTCAGGGGGCAGCAGCCCGCGGGGAAGGCCCAGGCCTGCAGGTGGCCTGCAAGTGGCCCGCTGGGCTGCACACCGTGACCTGTGCCTCCTCTGTCCTAGGGCTTCCTGTGCTTTGCCCTGGTGTTTGGCGCCCTGGTGCAGGTGGCCTTCTGGAGATTCCACAACCCCACCCAGGTGAGCACCTGGCCCCACCCCCATCACACCTCGGAGGGGTACCTGAACCGGGAAAGTCGCCCCTCTACCGAGGAGAGACCATTCTGGGGGGACATCCTCTGCCTCAAGGGGGGCACAGGGCCCTGAGGGCCTGGCCTCTCTGGGGCTGGGGCAGGAGCTCCCAGGGAAGCAGGAGCAGGTGCGGGCTTCTGACCCCCTCACCCCCAAGCCCCTCAGCCCTGCCCTCTGCTGGGCCCTGAGAGGGGCCGGGAGTTGGAAAGGGTATGAAGAGCAGGGAGGGGGGGGTCCCGGCCGACCTGAGGGCTTGCTTAGAGGGGTCAGTGCTCTGGAAACTGCCCAGAAGGGACTGCGCTCCTGAGTGGGCCCTGCCAGCGTCCGGGCCCCAGGAGGACATCCTCCCTTCAGTCCTGGAGCAGGGGCGGCCCGGCGGGAGGGGGCTGCTGGCTACTGTCCTGGTCCCACCCCCATTGTGGGCTCTTCCCAGGGCTTCTGTGTTGGTGGTGACTGGGGTGGTGATGCCCACGGTCATGTGGGGATGCACCCCCCCCCGCAGGAGGTGATGCCTGCCTTCCTTCCTTCCTTCATCTGTCCATCCATCCATCCACTCCGCTGATGGTTTCTGGGTGCTGGCTGGCTCAGCTGGGTGTCGATGGATGTGAGAGTGCCCTTGTCCCATTTTGGGGGGTTGGGGGAAGCACCAGCTCTGGGCTAACTCATTCACGAGGGCCACGGCCCCCAGAGCACATACGTGAGTGGGGCTCGAAGCCTGCAGGCCTGGGCGCTGACCCAGGGGAGCAGGGCAGGGCCACAGCTTGGGAGGGGCCTCTGGGGCACAGGAGCCAGGACAGCCTGGCCCTCCAGAAATTCTGTCTGGATTCAGGGCCCTGAGATGAAGCCGAGAGCCAGCCTGGGGGTTGGGGCTGGCCAGTGCACGTGTGGGGCTGGCCCCCTCCCGGACCAGGGCTGGGGGTCAAGGCCAGGCCCCCTGTCTGGGCAGAGCAAGTGGGGACTCAAGAGGCTCGGAGAGAGGGGCCCCGGCAGGATGGCGAGTAGGGGCCAGCTGCTAGCCCAGCTGCTTCCTGGCAGAGGCCAAAGGGACAAGGGACGGGCCTTCCTGCAGCCCCCAGCCGTGGACAAGATCCCGTGAGAGCCCAGACCCAGGCAAGCCCCCCGGGGCGGCTGGGAAGACAAGGGGCCAGCAGGAGGGGCCTCAGGGAGGGGCAGGAGAGCTGTCTTGCGTAGGCCCTGTCTGCCCTGAGTTTCTGTGATCCCCAGCAGCCCCTCCTCTCAATGGGCCTCAGTTTCTCCATGCGTTCCACAAGGACCAGCCCAGGGACACTGAGGCCAGTCTGCCTGAAACGCACTCGGCTTCTGGCAAAACACTGTGTGAGCAGCACGGGACAGGCGTGATTTCTTGCCTGTGTGTCTCAGTCCCCAGTGGCTCCAGCCTCTCTGTCCTCCCCCCAACCCCCCACCCCCGATGGTCATGCAGGAGCAGAGCCTCACAGGGGGCAGCTGGCTCAGGACCGTGTGCTTTTAGCTGTGTGATTACCCTCTCTGGTCCTGGCTTCCCATGCCCCAGAAGTGGGCTCTGCTTCTCCCACTCCGTGCTCCTTGGGGTCCATGAGGCTGGGTTACCAGGCCGAGCGTGGCGGCCCTGCCCTTGTCCTGCAGAGGAGGTACTCAGCCCGGGGGGGTGGGGAGTCAGGTCACGCTGGCAGAACCAGGCAGGAGGACCCAGGAGAATCCAGCCCACCATCCAGGGCCCTGAGTCAATGTCTCTTCTCCCTTCCCTGCCCAAGGATCTCCCCCAGACTGCCCACTGCCACCCTGGCATCATTTGGGGTCACCTCCCCCCCGTGACATTTCCTCTGGCTGCGAGGCTCTTGGAGGGGGTTGGTGCCCCTGCAAGGTGACCTGGGCCCTTGGTGGGGCTGCTCAAGGAGAGCCGGGCGGGCAGGCATTTCAGGCTCATCTTTCCATCCACTGGTCTGGCCCCTTGCTGGTCTGGGTCACAGCGTGGGTGGGCCTGGTCAGGACAGCTGCCAGGGTGCCCTGGGGCCCCCTGCGGCTCTCCGGGGATGGTAACAGCCCGTCCTCTCTTCTCTGACATGCTGTGTTTATAGCTGGAGCCCCGGATGCTGGGCTCTGCAGGGGAGGGGCTGTGCAGGGGCCGCAGGCCAGAGGCCAGCTGGGGATCCCGCTCTGAGAAGGGGAGGGGATGGAAGCCAGACAGCTCCCAGCTGGGCCTCTTCTGTCCCAACCCCCCACCACCATCCCCCATGAAACCTCTTGATCTGGTCCAGGCTCTGCCTGGCCCTCGGGGGTCGGTTCTCGGGGCTTTGCCTGACCCCTGATGGGGGCTGGGCCTCCTCCCAGGCCTGAGGCCTGGGGGGCCCCATCCGCCTCCCAGTGCCGTCTGTGTGCGTGTCCAGGCCCCTGCGGGCACAGAAGTGACCTGGTCACGGGAGCTCTGCCTCAGCCTGGGCTCAGCCTCCCCGCCCGGTACCCTTGGGTGACCAGCTGCCTTCCCGGCCTCAGTTTCCACCCCGGTGGGGGGGGGGAGGACGCAGAGACCCACGAGGGGCTGCCATGCAGCAGGAACGGGGCCAGTGAAGGGCTCGGTGGGACTATTGCAGAGGTGTCTGGGCTTGCATGAGGGGTGCCTTCCATCCTGGGCCTCCCCCCGGGAACCTGAGCCTCGGGACCCTCCCAGCACAGATACGTCCCAGCCCCAGGCTCCTTCGTTCTCCAGGGTCCTGCTGGCAGCCCAGTGACCAGAGAAATTCCAAAGGCCAACCGGTTCACTCCCGCTGTCCCCCTGCATCTCTTTGGACAACTCCCCAAGATATCCTGAAATACAGGGTGTCGACAGCGGCCTGGGGCAGCCCTACAGACAGGAAGCCAGAGAATGCAGTTAGAAGGGACCAGCCACGTTCTTCCATGGCCTCAAAGCAGGCCACAGTCCCTGGGGCGGGGGGGCAGTGAGAGGGTGCCTCTGCCCCTCACGGGGTTTTCTAGCTGCCATTCTCCACCCCTGTTGCTCCAAATCCATCCTGGGGGGCACCCCTGGAGGTCTGAAGTCAGGCTTAAGGAGGGGGACCCTGGCAGGGGGCTCAGAGGTGGCAGGGCCTAGTGGCCTCTGAGACCACCTGGTCCACCCCAGTTTTCTCCTGGGGAAACACGGACTCAGGCTCCTAGAGCATCCTCTAAACTCAGTAATGGGGGACAGATGCCCAGGCCTTTGGGAAGAGTCCAGCCTGGCCCCCACCACCAGGCCCGGGAGTCTAGGGTGAGGGACATGGCTTGGCAGGATCCGCATCTTTGCCTGCAGCAGGGGCTCATGTCCCCTGCTTCTGGGGTGGTAGGGACAGACTCCAGGGCAGCACACTGTTCCTAGGCCAAGGTTACAATAGAGAGAGCTGGCCTCGGGGCACCCGGCTACTCCCGGGGCCCTAGTGGGGGGATGGAACCCGGAGGGTGGTCTGAGCTTGCCTTCTTGTCTCAGCCACTTGCCCACGGACCCCAGGCCCACTCTACTGGGCCCCCAGCCTCCCTGGGCCCCCTCCTGTGAGGACACAGAGGCTTCGTGGTCTTGAGGCAACAGGCAGAAAGAGGGCCACTGGCCAGGCCCCGCAGCTGTGGTGGCCAGCCTGACGCCTGCCCTCCAGCCCAGGGCACTGCCCACCTCCCAGCGGGTTGGCTAGAAGCCAGCTGACCCAGTTCGGGATGGCTTGCAGTGCATGTCTCCACGGGAGGGCCAGTTAGTGCCAGGAGTGGGGGTGGGGTTGGGATGAAAGTCCCTCTGGTTCCTGTTGAGGCAGCCTCTGCGGCCCACCTACCCCAGTCCCCCAGGCTGCCGGACGGACGGCCACCCTTTCCGGGAGCGCATGAGTGGCCGGAGCAGGCAAGGGCATCAGTTTACCCGAGCCCTGGAGGGCAGCCCTGAACAGCCACCGCTGTGTCCCAGCTGTAAGCTCGGCACAGCACAGGGTGGGAAAAGGGGCAAGGGAGTGAGTGCTCGGGGTCTCTGGGAGGGCATCAGAGGCCTCAGAGGGCAAGGGAGGCACAAAGAAGCCTGGCCTGTGCCAGGAGACTGCTGAGTCCAGAGCAGTCAAGGAAGCCTTCCTGGAGGAGGTGAGATTCCGCTTTGTCTTTGGGGGACTAACTTGGCAAGGGTGGGCATTTAGGTTTGCGGGGAGCGGCATGAGCAAAGGCAGAAGGAGGTGCTTAGGAGGGTAGAAGCAGTGGGGTCTGGGTGACGCTGGGGTGCGCAATGAAGGCAGCACCTGGCCGGACCCCTGGCCAATACCTTCTCTCCCCATCATCTGCCTTGTCTGCCCAGAGCTGGCCCTGGACGCCCATGGCTTCTTTGGTCAAAGGCCTTGCCTGGAGCCTAGCTGCTCGGGGTTTTGGAACCCACCAGGTGGTTCTAGGAAGAGACCTAGACCATCAGCGGGGAGCTGAGCTCCTGGCAGGAGGCTTCTCCCAGCCTCCTCTGCCCAGGCCTGGCTGTCGGCTTTCCCTGTCCCACCACCCAGATGGACAGACGACGCCCATCCCTCGGCCAGGCCCTCCACACCCTGAAAGACCAGCGCTGGAGGCAGGCCACAGGGCTTGGGTCTCTGGCGCGTCATGCAGGAACCTGGCCCCAGCACGGGACGGGGACAGTAGTGGTCATTCTTGTTGGGAGGGGGCCCCATGGTGGAAGTCTGGGGACCAGCCTCCCAGGAGACCCAGGTTCTGCCCTCAGGGGGCTCTGCCCAATGAAAGGAGGAGGGAAGCTGTTAGGACGGCACACTCGGGCCAGGTCCACCACCGGGGAGCCGCGTCTCTCAGGAGGGGGCTTCGCCAGAACGGAGGTCTTCCCATCATGCTCTTGGTGCAGGTGGAGGATGCTTTGCTGGACGCCTACGACCTGGTGTATGACCGGGCGGTGAAGAACTTGTCCGGAACCCCGCGGCAGCAGCTGGTGGCCATTCAGGACACGGTGAGCATGTGGGGGGGGGGTGGCCTCCCCCTCGCCAGGCTGGCTCCGGAACATTCAGCCTCCCCAGTTGGACTGCAACCCAGAAAATGGGTATAGGAGTGGCCTGCCCCCAGAGTCAGCCGGCCCTGGCCCAGGCCCAGGCGCTGAGCCGGGGGTCCCAGGACACAGGCCACCGACACCCTCTCGGTAGTGGGGAGGGCGGTACAAAGACCTCTTGTCTTCTCCCTCTGGCCTGGCCGGGGCTGGCTACCTAATTTGCGGGCCAAAGCAACATGGAAAGGTTTCTTGTCCAAAACTGATTAAGAACTTCAGGTTGGTGACAGCACGGCATGAAGCAAGGCCCCAGTGGCCACCGGGTCTCAGCTCGGGAAGCGGGCGCCAGCAGGTGCACCATCTGCGGGGCGGGCGGTGGCTGTGCTGACAGCTTGTGGTGGACAGTTAAGAGCCCTCCTTTTATGGGGAAGCCGCGGGGCCGGGAAGGCCGGGCTGCCCGGTACCTGCCACCCCCCGCACGCAGCCCGTGGCCCTGGCCTCTTGGGGCAGCTCTGCTGGGCGCCCCTCGCCGGTGGCCTCCTTGTGCTGCCCCCCACCTGCCCCACCTTGCAGACGCATCCCTCCATACATTCTTGCAGTTCCTGTGCTGTGGCAAGAGCTCTCCTTTCAGCCTCCTGGGGGACGTGGAGGCCGGTCTGTGTCAGGGAGAGCAGGCAGCCAGACAGGTGAGGAGGGGAGGCCCGGACCTGCGCTCTCCCTCCCTGGCCTCCCCCATCCCCCAGTCCCCCCACTGCAGGACTCCGGGAGGCCGCAGTGAGGGCTGGACTCGGCCCCTTGCTCCCTTCACTCTTTCATCCCCTCCGAGGTCACGCCTGCCCTCGGAAGCCTCCAGAAGCGCACGGGGAGGAGGAAGACAGACATTGGTCTGGAGGGGGCTCCTCGGGAAGGAGCCGGAAGGACATTCCACGGAAGGGACAGGGAGGGTCAGTGGCACGCAGAGCCGGGAAGTCCCTTCTTCCCCACGGCCCAGAGAGGGGCCTGGCATTCCCCACCAGCCCTCCCTGACGCAGCCGCCCTCCTGGCTCCTCTCGCCCGCTGTCCGGGAAACAAACCCACCCCTATCTCTGGGCGAGAGGCTCCCGGCTGCCTTCCAAGGAGCAGACCGGAGGATGCAAATGGCTCCTGGCCCAGAAGGGAGGGGTGGGGGCAGCAGAGGGCCCAGCATGCCTGGGAGGGGGCTGAGAGCGCGTGCCTCTCAGGGAGAGGCCTCGGGTGCCCGTCTGCAAAGTGGGCTGAGGCACGGCTCTGTGGCCTTCCAGAACGGAGGGGTCCCCACCGTAAAGGCCACAGAGGGTGAGTGTGGGTGCTAGAGCTGCCCTGGGGAGGGCATGGGAGCAGCTGGGGTGGTGTCCTGGAGGGTGGTCAGGCCCCCAGGCTGCCTGCCAGGAGGACGTGTGGCCACACGGGGAGTAGGGGCTGATCAGGGGCTGCTTTCCCACGGGGCACCCAAGCCAGGCTGCAGGGTTGTGGCCCCGGGCTCCTGGGACCGTTTCCGGCTGCCCCTGGAGGCCAGAGGTCCCAGCCTCCAGGCCAGCCAGCGGGACTCCAGCCGGCGCAGAGGCCTGGGTGGCAGTAGGGAGGCTGGAGGGCCCAGTAACAGGTGGACAGATGGATGCACAGACAGACGCCAAGCTAGCCTCCTGTCCCTCCCCATCCCAGCCTTCGGAAGAGCATCCCGAACGTCCCACTGGGCCTCCCCAAAATGCCAGCATCTTCCCCCAAATCAAAAGCCACCATCTGAGTGGTTCAGAGATGGGACGGTCACCTCCCTTTTCCTCCAGAGAGAGCCTCTGTGGATGCCCTGCCCTGGGGAGGCACTGGGGTCAGGGATGGAGCAGGAGGCTGGGGCAGCCCAGGACCCCAGCCCCTCCACCAGCTATTTCTCTGCCCTCCCCTCGCCCTGGGCCAGGGAGTGAGGGAGACTCGGCCTGCCCAGGGGAGCCAGACCTGTGACCCAGCCCAGGCAGGTCAGCGGGCGCCTAAGAAAGGCACGTGCAGGACCCTGGGGCAGCGACCTTCAGTCCCCACGGAGGCCCACTCCATCCTGCTGCTTTCCGCCTGTTTGTGATGCCTTCCCCCAGAGCTCTGGGGCAGTAGGTCGCACCACCCCAGCCCCCACTGACTTCCCATTGCCCTAGCCCTCGGCCCAGGTGGGCACTAGAGAGCCTCACCCTGGGCAGGGAGGGGACAGCCAGGGCGGGTGCCACGCGAGCTGCCCTCTGCTCAGGACTGCCTGGTGGGGATCAGGAGCTTCCTGAGGACGCACAGAGACATCGCCTCCACCCTGACCGGCATCGGCCTCGCCGCCATGGTACTCTTGCCCTCCCTCAGCACCCCTTCCCCAGCTGCCGCCCCTCCACCCGCGGATCCCCCACCCCAATGGAACAGCAGGGGCCTCAGGGAGCAGCAGGGGAGCCAGCGAGGAGGCTGCTGACCGCAGGGAGGCAGCCTGGCAGGGGACAGTACCTCACCGCCTTCCCAAGACATTTGGGAGCCCTGCAGAGCCCAGTGCCTCTAGGGCGGCCGTGCGCCCCTCCCCGGGAGCCACAGGTGCTGCTGCTGACGCCTCCACCCTCCCAGGTGTACGCGATGCTGCTCAGCTCCTTTCTCTGGTTCGCCATTCGCTCTGGTGGCAGCTTGGACCGCAAGGGCAAATACACCCTGAGCCGGAGGTAGGCCCCAGCCTGCCCCCCGCCCCGTGCACCCCATCCCCCAAGGGGCAGAGGCCAGCAGCAGGTGGAGGCAGCTGGGTGCTCAGGCTGGCTCCCTGGCCACTGGAGGGGAGCCGCTGGAGAGTTGCACGCACTCCTACAGCCCCACAGGGACCCCCCTCCCTTCACCCCACTCCCCACCAAGACCTGACCTCACGAGTGCGCCCCAGGAAGGACCCAGACCCAGACCCCCAGCCCCTGTGCCCTGGCTTTCTGGGCCCCTTCCTGCCCAGGCATCCTGCCCGGCCCCCGTGCATTCTAGAACATTCTCACAGTCCCCTCTGCTTCCCAGAGTGCCTGGCTGCCAGCCCCAGGAGCCCAGCTTCTTCAGACGCTCCCAGGGGAGCCCCAAGCTTCAGCCTGCGACTGAAGCAGATGTTCTCCACGGCCACCTGGGTGCAAGTGGACCCTCGGGGGGCCCTCGGCTGCTCCAGGACGACTGACACGTTTGAACCGCCTGTCCCACCACCTGTGTGCCCACAGAGGCTCAGCCGGCTCAACCGCGAGCCTTACAAGGACGATGTGAGGTGTTTTCTGCTACATGGCTGAGGGACGGGGGAGGAGGAGGCCAGGCTGTTGGCGGAACACGGGTCTGTGCAGCGGTGGGACCGAGGGCCCCTCCCTGATGGCCGTCAGTGAGGACGGTCCTCTGCTCCCTAAGACCACATCTTTTGCATGAGAAGCCTTCGCCTCCAAGGCAGCGAGGGCCTGTCCGTCCTTCCGACCGCCCCTTCCCTCCGGCGGGCAAGCGCTCTGCTTTCAAGGGTCCCTGTGGCTGCATGAGGTCCACTGGGAACCTCCGTCTCTCGGACAGCAATCTCACACTTCCAAGGACACTGTGCTCACAGGTGCAGGGCCCGAGGCAGGACCTGCGGTGTGAGTGCGGGAGGACACTGTAGAAATCCAGTAGCCAGGCGCTCCCCCTGGACACCCAAACCCCCTCTCTGATACATGCTCCTACTGTCCCCGAGGCTGTGCGCCCTCTGCCAAAAATCCCAAGCCCCCAGCAGGACCAACAAAGGGGGGGGTCCCCCCAAAACAGAAGGACCGTTCTGGCACAAGCAGCCAAAAAAGTGACGACGTGACAAATACCCACCCAGTCCTCCCCTTGTGTTTCCAATCACACGCGTGCACGCACACGCACACCTCCGAAAGCAAGCACATTCCCGCCTAATGGAGCGCCAAAAGTAGAGCACGGGGGCAGCAGGAGACCTTGTCCCCCTGACGAGGATGCCCCGAGTCTCGTGGGTCCTGCGGTGCGGGACAGTCGGTCTCTGGCCACGCGCACCCCCACCCCAGTCCTGTTCTGCTCAGCTTGCCTTCTACAGCTCGCAAAATATATTTTAATGATACCAACCAGCAAAGCTGGCGTCCTCTGCACAACAACGGTGGAACCAAAGGAAAGAAAAGGGGATTTGGTGAAATTCTGTGAACCAGCAACTCGGCGGGGTGGGAGTCTCCAGATGGTTACTAAGAAATCGGAGGGAGAAAACACACATGGGTGGGACAGGACAAAGGCCCTAATACAGCACCATCGAGGCTGGGCGGGCCAAAGGGACAGACGCCCTGCTGCTGACCCTCCGGGACACCAGGGACACCAGTGTGGAGGAAGATGAGCAGCGGGAACAAAGACCACTGAGAGAAAGCAGACCCGGAAGCACCTGGGGCGATAATCAGCCGCCTGATCCAGAGAAAGGTTGACGGAGGACTGGGGTCCGGGCTCCACCCTCACTGGGGTGCAGAAGAGAAGCCCCCCAGACTCCCTGATGTGTGCACCGTGGTAGCAAACCCACGGCCAAGCCTGACCCGCCGCCACGGGACCTGGA